AACACAGAAAGAAAAATAAAGTTATAACGTATATTAATTTATCCTGTATGTAACATATAGGTGGTACCTACAATTCTGACCTTTAGTTTACTGTGAGGTCTCCTCTGCTCTTTGCCACCCATGAAATATCTTAAAAGCTTAAATATCTTAAAAGATTTTTTCACAATAGATGAATAAAATCAGTACCCAACATTTATCTTCCCAGGTAAATCTCACACGTCCTCCTGATAATTATACCATTTCCAAATCTAGATGAAAGAAAAACAAACTGCATGCTGACAACACTGCTTGTAATAATTTGCCCCCAATTTAGCTGTGTAAATATAATTTATGCTAAACATCTAGCATTCTGTTAGAGATTTTTCCTCCTTTTCCTGCTTGAAGAAGCAAACAGCTCATAGTTTTTGAATTTTAGATTAATTCCAATGTCCATGGCTGTCTTGCCAAAGATTTTTGTGAGCACTGAGTCAGGGCCCTCTATAGGAACCAGAATCTCAAGAACTGGACAGGGTGGAATGAAATTTGTTGATTTGTGAGTTATCATTTGAATTACCTCCTGAATACTCAGGATCAAACAGTAAATTAAGAATGAAAAAGTGGTCAAAATCCACAAAGGAGTTAACACAGTCCATTGCTTCTTTGTAGAATTATATTGAGTAAATGACTTTTCTATTCAGTATTTAATAGCTTTTAAATTGCAACTAATAATTTTAGGGTTAATTGAAAACACTTTATGTGCTTACAGAAAAGTAATGAAGTAATGCAGAAATATAAAAATTATTACATCAATACTGTAACTTAAATCTTCAGCCACTAACAGAAAAATGTGTGTGTATACACATGCATCTGATCTTGTTTGCACTTTAACCAATCTAACACTTTCTCTGCCTGCAAAAACCATTTCTGGTTTTGGGCTTAGCAAAATTACTGAAGCATGCACAGGGGTGTCTGGGCCAGTGAAATTACACACACAGTGCAGGAGTGTGAATGACCCCTGTTCTGAAAATCTGGACCTGTAATGGCCAGTTTTTTTCTGAATGTAGAAATAAACCAAATATCCAAGCAAATACTGATTAACATTCTGAAACAGCAATATTATTTACTAATAAACTCCGTTCCTTTTTGTGAATCCAGCTCCATGCATTCAACAAGAAATATTTGTAAAATGATCTGTATCAAGGTTGGCACACAGGTCACATAACCTGCAGTCCCTGGGCTCCCACTTGGCTGCTGCTGTCCCTATTACTCTGGTTATAACTGCAGCTGGGGTCTCAGGGTTCACACTTCCTCCCCTGGCTTCTGCTGCATGCCCCTGCTCCAGGGGATGAGGCAGCATGATGTGGCACAACCTGAAGTGCTAGGGGAGCTGCCAGCTTAGGGTGTCCATGCAGTGTGGTGCCAAAGAGAAACCAAGGTGGGACTGAAGATAAGACATGTCATGAAGAAGCACCTGCCCATGTGTATGCAGTGTGGTGGGAGGTGGGGGAAGCATCCACGCACATGTATGTGCTGAGTATACAGGGGCCACAGGCCCTGCATGCTGCTAGTGCTGCTCCCACAACATCCAGCCCTTGCTAGTTCCACTTGAAACTGGACAGCCCTGATCTATATAATAAAAAAGCCCCATAAAAGAGACTAAAAAAATATTCCAAGGTAAAGGAATACAGCCAGAGCTGTCTCTAATTAAAGAGCCTCTCTAATTAAAGAGCCCACAGCATCTTGTGTATTTAGCATCCCATAAATCAAAACACTGGGGATAACTAAAATCAAATGAGCTTTAGTTAAAGCATCCCCACTGCCATTTTGAAGTACAGGGATGCTGAATACACATGATGCAGCTGTTTGTAGCCAGCCCGGGCTCTGGGCAGCTGCAGCAAGCAGTGGGCTGGCTACAAACAGCTGTACCGGGATCATCACCTCCGTGCCGGGAGTGGGGGAGAGACCAGGGCTGCACTGCTTCAGGCCTTTTCCTCATCGCCCACTCTGAGGCACACCTGCACGCGCTGCTGTGGAGCTGATGCCAGAGCCCGGCACAGCTGTTTAGAGCCTCCCGGCTGCAGCCAGCCCTG